TCTGATTCAACGAAATACTGCTGAGTGTGAGAAAAGGTGAGTGTGAAGATACGTGTGAAGTTTTATGCTGCAAGAAGGTCAGCACTCGAGATTAAGCGTGTTGTTAGGTTCTTGCCATGAGACGCCTTGGAAATCCTTTTGCTTCATGTCACATCCTAACGACGTCTAGTCTGCGCACTACCATTCTTCACTACATATTTTCTTTACGTTTTGTTTGTCTCTTTTGCAAACATAGCTTGCATACCTCGGCTAGCTGCTCTACACCAAATAACTGTCGCCCACAACAGCTTTCCCTCTTACAGCATTCTTCAAGTTTTAAATCGCGACCCAGTTTGGTTTTATATGTCAACCTCATAAGCTCTTGAACATCTTTTGTAGCGTTTATACTCGTCTTTATCCAGCTCGACAATCGTTTTTTCACCCTTTCATATATATACGTATATTTGATATACATGATTTTCATATCATTTGATCAATTTAATGATTATTATGACCCAGCTCGCGAAGTGCACTTGGAAGAGCCCTACTCAAGAAAGCACACGACTTCGCACATTCCTTCCCAGGCACTTTGTGCATTCCTAACATCTCACTGGAAGCCTTTGTCGTTCGTCAAGAACACAGGTAAATTATGTAGGCGTTTAAAACATGCATACCGGAGCATGCAGATTTGCTTTGTTATGTTTTGTAACTGAGAACTGAAAATAACACGCGAGTTATTATTTCTGTTTTCTATATTCATTTTCTACAACATTATGTCAGTGTCTAGATTCCGAAACCAGTAATTAAATGTACGATAGAAAAGAGACTCTCCATCAGCTACCATATCTTCCCTGTCTTTTTTTAAAGGAACGTAGTCATTTACTTGAATCTGTTCTTCACACAAAGCCGTGCCCCAGGCGTCGCTCCGGCGGCCGCACCCCGTGGCCTCCCGGGCGGCGTCTGAGGCGACAGAATAGAGGGATTCACTTAGTGCGCGGTCAGCCTTGCCTTCAGACACTCCAAGATGTGAATGGTACAAACTTTGCAAGGTACGAACTGCTCTGACCGAAGCGCGTGCAACTGATGAGCATTATTAGAAGTGTAAGTTAGGCCACAGACTCTGATATCGTAGTCAGATATCCTAACCTCACCTTTTCATGTCACTTTTGCAACAATTTCCCTGACAAAATCCCAGGCAGGTTATCATACAGATTCCCCAGGCCCTGATCATAGCAATGAATAATTACAAGAAAAATACAGTCCTTACGCAACCTCACAGCTTGCCGAAGAGGTTGCAAACCCCCACCCCCCACCCCGCCTCTTCGCTGTAGGGGGCAGCACCTTTGCCAAAAGACCTCCCTCATCCCGTCCCGCGCGGCGCCTCCCTCACCGGCGTCCTCCTGCCACCTGCCCCGCCCTCGGTCACCCAGGGAGTCTGACTACGACCGCAGAGCTAAGGGCCCGTAGGTTCTAGGCAAACATGCGCCCGCTCTGCCAGCCGAGGTCGAAGGGCGACTATAGTGTGTAGACCATGTGCAAATAAATAAAGAAGAGTATGAATAATAAATCCTGTTAAAAACTCTGACGTGTCATTGTCTTACCTTCGACTTTTTAGTCTTACAATGATGACAGTAATTTTCCTGTCACATTGTCTATCATGATGATATGGCAAAAATAATGACATTATTAATAATGAAATTATAACCTTGACAACCCATACTAATGATGGTGATGATATAACAATAATGATAATACTAACGATACTTCCAATCATAAGGATAGAAACAGTAACGATATGAAAACTGTGGTAAAATTGTAACATTAATAACAGTACCGGTAATAGTAATGATAATGATAAAGAGGATAATGATAATGATAGTGAAAGTGCTGATACTGATAATAATAAAAATGATAGTAATAATGATAGTAATAGTGATAGTAATGATGATAACATTAATGATAACAATAGTGACTATAATAATGATAATAATAAGAAGAAGAAGAAGAAGGAGAAGAAGAATTATGATAATAATAATGATAATAATGGTGATGATAATAATATCAGTAACAACAGTAATATTAAGGATATGATGATGATAATGATAATGAGTATAACAATAATGATAGTCATAATAGTAATAATATTACCAATGATAATCTCAATAATGATGATAATGATGATAATGATAGAGATGATGATGATGATGATAATGATGATGATGGTGACGATGATGATGATGATGATGATAGTAATAATAATAATAATTATAATAATAATAATAATAATAATAATAATAATAATAATAATAATAATAATAATAATAATAATGATAATAATAATAATAATGATAATAATAATAATAATAATAACAATGATAATAGTAATAATGATAACAACAACAACAACAATAATAACAGTAATGATAATAATAAGGATAACAGTAAAAATAAAAATGAAAACAATAATAATAGTAATAACGATGATGATGATAATAATAATAATAATAATAATAATAATAAT